GGAGGATGTGGCTCTCCCGAGTAGTGCTTACGGAAGGAATGGAAGAAAGCAACAGCTTTAAGATACCACTCAGCAAAGGAATAAACAGATTTTTTTTGACTAGAGGCAGTGATTCTCAGACCTTTGTAAGGTTTTAAAACCATGTGTACTTTTTGCATGCCTGTTGATTTTTTATTATCTCCATGATGAAACCCAAAATGACCCTGTCTTGTTTTCCAGGACAGCTGGGAAGCAGGGAACTAGGGAGACTCTTTCCTTCTCCCTAGCCTTACAAGAGTGTGACACCCAAGGGAGTGTGTGGGTAGAAGTAGCTTTAATGAGAAAGGAAAAGCAGGCCGACTCCCTTGGGCTGTGTGGGAAGAAAGTGAGGCCCGGCATTGTCTGGGCTGGAGAAGCAGCAACTTCTGACACTGATAAATGATTCAATTGAAAAAATAAATGAAGAACCTCCAGCATCAGAGCCACGTTATTATCCTATATGCCAGGGAAAGGAATGTTGTAGGCGAGAATCCTTCTTAGATCTTGTCCGAGGAGGAGTATTAGTTGGCAGTCAGACAACTTAATTATGATAGAATCACTTGGCTTCATCTTGCCTTAAGCCCTGGGGAGAATGTGCCCACAAGTTAGAGTAATAATTTCATTTTAGGGGTTTATGGACATTGGGTAGGGTATGTGCTATGGTGAGTGCTGTGAAGTTTGTAAACGTGGAGATTCACAGACCTGTACCTCTGGGGGGAAAAAAAAAATATATATATATATATGTTTATAAAAAATAAAATTATATAATAAAAAAAAATTTCATTTTACCTTATAGAGTACAGCATGAAGGATTCAAAGGGAGAACATACTCATATAGTTGTAGATGGTGTAATTTTGAATCTATTTTCTGTGCAATACATAATTCAAGGCTGAATTACTGAAATGGTAATTTTCAGAGGAATATGGAACAAATTTCAGATGCAGTGAAATCTGAGCTTTGGTATAAGAATTTATTTCTAATTTAAAACCTCTTTGTCATTCACATAGAATAATGATGTTAAGAAAATTTTATTAGGCAGTTGGTTCTGTAGAAGAACTACTTTGTGGCATATTATAGGTGAGAAATTTCTCTCCAGAGCCTTTTACCTTTTTGATTCAGGCAGAATTTTAGATGATCTTCAAGGTAGTTATTACCAAATGATTTATGAACCTCAATAGTCATGAAGAAAAATTAAGAATTTGAATAATTGGAAAAGAAGAAAGTTATTTAAATCAGACTTTGAGTTTATCTGCTTAAATTGAACTCATCTGTTTAAGTCATTATTGTCTAATTTGAACCTTCTGCCCCTCTTAGATACCTAAAAAATTTCTTCTGGGATTCTTACTTCATTTAAAAAAAAATGTTCATTGCTTCCCTTGGGCTAGGGGAATGCAGTGTCTGGAGTGAAGCCTGAATTTATTTCATGCTCTCTCTTTTTCAGAAAGAAAAGGCAATTGTGGGATTAGCTTGACATGCTTTATTTCTTAAACATTTGGGAAAAGAATATCCTTCCCCATTACTCTTTTGAGATTTCCAGAAACCCTGAATGATCATGGTGACTCATAACCAGCTGGCTTTGTATGGCTTTCTGAGGGGAAAGCAGACTCCTAAGTGAAAGACAGGCTTTTCCTAGCTCACTTGCACACTTACTGGGAAGGACCATGAAGGGTGGGACCGTAGAGCCCTGAAGTGGACAGGTGAAAACAGGGGACAGTTCTGCATTTAATCTCTGTGTAGGTCTTCTTCGTACATCATAACAGGTGGCTTAGTGGTTTAAAAGAATGGTTTCTTCTCTGTTTGCTCCCCTCCACCCTCAGTAAACTGATGTTCCAGAGAGATTCTTTAGGTGTATTCTGTGGCTCTCTGTGCTGTAGACAGACCATTAAGAACTCCAAGGTGGACACTTCCCCATTTTGAGAAGCGAGGTCTTAGGGGATTCAGAGCCTTCTAATTGCACCTCTTAGGGCTGTAGGCTTTAGGTTGATCTGGGTCTAGATCTGTCCAGGTAAGTCACACATCCGATTGTGGGTATTCTCTTTAAATTAAATGCCGTCTGTTAGGATGCAGGATTCTGGACCTTGCTTCTTCTCTCTATGTACCATTTACCTCTTTCTATCGCTTGACCAGCATGCGGACTTCCATTTGCTAAACTGTCCACTCTGTCCTTAATCCTTCCAATTGGATTTAGCTTCTGAAATGTTTGTGTCAATGCCTTTGGTGCTTTTCTGCCAACTCTGTTGACTTTATTTATTTATTTTTTTCTGTTAGATTTCAGGCTTCTCCATCTCTCAGCATTTCCAGTATTGATGGTGAACCATTTTCTCAGGCCATTTAGGGCAGGGGAGGCTTTGGCAGCAGCATGTCAGTGGCTTTTGGCCAGAGAGGTTGATTTCTCACTCGTGAAACTATGAACAGCAGCTGTGCTCCACGTTCTCTCCACTCCATGATTCCGGCGGGAGAAGCAACCCACATCTGGGGCATTATAGGATACAGGGTAGAGGGGAAAGAAATGAGAGGACTGCATGATAGCTTCTTACTGCTCAGGAGTAGGGGCATGGCACTTCCACTCTCATTTCATTGGCCAAGGTTGATGTTGATGGGCAGGAAGTGTAGTCCTTCCCCAGATCAGATCAGGTCACAGGGGTGTGGGGCAGAGTAGATTTAACAACGATACAGCCTCCCACAGCCTTATATTTCAGCTTAGATACTCAGAACCAGACACAGTCCCCTCACGTCACAGATCTTAAGTATGGGGAAGATGTACTTCTTTCTTTCCCAAATGCTTTTTGTGGTGCTATGGACCCTGGTCTAACTCCATCCGTTTCTTCGGATCCTCTTCATCCTCTGCATTTACCCAAGTGTTCTATTCATTCTCCTCATCCTTTGCCTATGGTTTTCTACTTTACGTTGATGCTCCAGAAATCCAGAATTTTTTCGTTTGTTTGTTTGTTTGTTTTTTGTTTTCTTTTAAATCTAGCTTGTGGTAGTTAGCCTTAACATATTTCTGGGTAGTACAGCAAAACAAGAGAAATGCAGAGTTTTGATTTTAAACCATGTGGAGACATTCTATATACTAGATCATGTAGAAAAATAGTCTTATCCAGAAGTCCTTTTGAGGTCTAGTCATAGTCTTAAACCCTCCTTTTCGGAGTTTCTTTGTATTAATCACTGTCTATCTTTAAATGTGGTGAGCATTTTCTTTACTTTGTACCCCCGAATACTTGGAATGGTTATTGCAGAGCTAAATGTAACCTGCTTTGCAATGCACTTTTTATTTCGATACTTCAGTTCCTCTACTAGATTGCAATTTACTGAAGGCAGTAGGGTTTTTTTTCCCCCCCTTCATACCTACACCCCTTTTTTTGCTCAATGCTAACATATGCTTGTTGAATTGAATAGGACTATTATTGTTGCTATTTCATTAATTACCAAGGTGGAGTCCTTCTGTGTGCTAGCTATCTGCAAGTTTATTAAATGATTGTGCAGTTAAAATAATATATTTTAAAAATGTTTCCAATTGCCCTAGTACCTACCCTTTCTGAGCCCACTGGATTTAGTATCTACTCTCCACAAGGGAGGTTCTTTGCCTGAGACCTTTCTCTGGTAGCAGGAGCTCCTTTCTCAGGAGCAGCTCTCAACCTGGTGGCTAATCTGACTAATTGGAGTTGATGAGTGAATGCCCCACTTCCCTTGCTCTCCAGTTATCTAAAGGGGGTCTGACACTTTCTCCCAGAGCTCCCCAGTATGTACAAACTGAGGCTGGGCTGCCCACCCTGGTAACTTGCTTATCATGTACCATGTGTTGGTGCTCATCCCCTACCTGCCTCATTTCTCCACTGTTGGCAATCTCATTTTAATCTCAGAGTTTCTAAGTCTAATCCAAACCAAAACAAAGATTTTATGTCAAAATTTATCATTTTTGACTGTCTCTATTTTGGTGATGCCAAAGAATAATATAACACACACCACAAATGTAGTTTAAAGATTTCTAGTGGCCACATTTTATAAACTAGAAAGAGTGAAATTCATTTTAATAATACAGTTATTTAACTCAGTGATGAGGGAGCAGAAGCTAGTGGAAGGCAAAGCATAAACTGACACCCTGAAGCTTCCCCTCCCCCCTACTCCTGACTGGGATATATGGGATATTCTTCTAGGAAGCTCCCCACTGTCTTCCTGTTATTGCTTTGCTAGAGGGAAATACAACCTTGACAAGGCAAGGTCTCTGGTACCTTGTAGGTCCTCTTTAGCATGTGGAAGTTCTTTTGAAAACCTCCCCCCCGCCCTTTTTTTTTTTTTTAAATCTCTTCCAACCCCTTCTGTATAATCACTTGCTCCTCACAACCCTAGTACAGTTTTTTCTGCCCATGGGTCCTGTCCTCGTGCTTTAATAAACCACCATTTTGCACTAGAGATGTCTCAAGAATTCTTTCTTGGTCATTGACTGCAGACCTCACCCCACTGAACCTCATCTATATTCCAAAATCACATCATTAGTATATCCCAAGTATTATCATTTTACCATGTAATCAATATAAAACTTATTAGATTTTTTGCAACCAAGTCTCTGAAATCTGGTATTTTACACTTACAGTACATCACCATTTGGACAAGCCACGTTGCAAGCACTCAGCCACATGTAGCTAGTAGCTACCATACTGAACAGTGGTGATCAATTTCCGACTGTTGTATTCCATGCATCAACATTTAGGGACTTGCTGGCTCTTGAATATATAGGAGGCTCTCTGGTGGGTTAGTTCCTGTTCTCAGCAAAATCTTACTTACCTTTACTTTTAAGCTGAATAAAATCTCTATAAATGTTTACATGGATGGGTGCCTTATTTAGTCTGTGTGTACATATTTATGTTCTTTCAAGAATGAGCCTCTGGTAATAATATCTCTGGGTCTTACTGCCTTTCACGTGTTTCCATGCAAAATATAGACAAGATTCTTAGCATCTCTGTGTTTGTGTGTCTTTCAGGCAGAAGGTACCAGGCTTCAGCGAGAACTCCGGGGCTATTTAGCAGCTATCAAAGGTAATGTGTGTGAGTTGTTTGCTGTGCGTTAAGTTACTAGGCACAGATTGTTCTTGAAATTCACGAGTGGCGGGATTAAGTGTTAATTACAAATCCGTTTGGTTTTCTGGCAAGATGCACTTGAGCACAGGTGTTCATTCCGCCCACTCCCAAATTCCCATTGAAATGATAATTAGAATATACAAGGAAAAAATGTCTACTGTTATGTTGGTAACGAGGAATAAGTGCCTCCCACACCAGAGATTTCTAGGAAGGTGTGAGATAGAGCGTGCCTGATACCTTGTTTCAGAAAAGCTGCAGTTGGTTTATATCCTAAGGGAGAGCATGTCCCAAGTGTAGAGCACTCACAGACTCACACTTAAGCCATCTAGCTGAAGGGGCAAGATACGGCGGCAGAGGGTTGTCAGAAATCATGACCCTGGACACCTGTGACTTACTGGGATCAGCTGCACTTGCGGCCCTGTCACTGGATGGAGACAGAGAGGCTGTGACATTGCTTCCTGGCCTCAGCCATGCAAGGCAAAGAAATGAGGTGGGTGGTAGAGGATAGGAGAGGGCAGTCAGGTGTGCTCTGTTCTTGTCTGCTGTTCCTTACAGAGCTGCCTGCACTGAGGTAGACCCAGGTGCAACCATGGGTGTGATGGATCACAAGGCAGACTTTGAGATTAGTGGGGGGAGAATGGATCATCTGCAAGGGGTCTTTTTTTTTTTCTTTTTTCCCATTCTGCCTCTTTTATTTACGAGTTTCATTTTCTGCAAGGGGTCTTGGCAACTAGCAAAGTATCCAGGGAAAACTAAGATTCTCAAGCTCATAGTCTACTCCCTCCTTCTCAATTACAGATCTAGTAAAGAGTTATGTATACAAAGACATGCCCTAAAGCACTAGAATAAAATACAATAGACTTAGTCTCTAATTTTGGGTGATGAGGTCTTTTCAAGACCAACCCAAAAGACAGATACCGTAAAGGGAAAGATTGAGAGATTTGACCTCATAAATATATCAAACTCATGTTTATGTTTAAAAAATCATTTTGACAACATATTTAAGTGAGCTCAGTAAGACGCTAAATGAATATCAGTTGATGAAAAGAAAAAAATAGGTAGAACATATGAAGAAAAAATTAGCCAGAGAAGAACCGGGAGATGGGTATTAAGTGTGAAAAATTAGTTTCAAGTTTTAAAAATGGTTTCACTTGTCCTCATGGATGGAAAATCAAAGAATATTAAATAAAATCAAAAGGGAGATACTGTCATTTTTCTTTGAAATGTTTAAAGATATTAAAATGAAAAAGACCATACTGCATAGCACTGAAAAAGCTGTGGGGAGCAGATCCCTTTCATATACTGCTGCTAAGACAGCTTCCCTGAAGAGCAATTTGGCAAAAGCCTCTAAATGTCTATATTTGGGGGGGGGGCATGGGGCATCCCATTGGACACAGCAGTTCCAGTTCCAAGAACTTACTCTAGTCATCTCATTGTGGGTATGTGAAAGTGTTTCAAAAATAGTGGTAAGTAATGAAATCATAATCTTAAGAATAAAAGAATTTTAGTCATAATAATAAAGCATTAGTGAAATTGATTAATAAACTAAACTATATTTAAGCTCATACAGGAAAAGCATATAATTTTAACTCTCATGACGACTCTGAGGTAGGTACTTGCATCATCTTCATGTTATAGGTGAAAAAGTTGAGGTGCAGAGAGGTTAAATAGCTTGTTCAACGTCATGAACTAATAAACAGCATGGCCAAGATACATACCCTGGTCCACATGTCTCCTAAGGCATTGCTTTTTTATAAATTGAAGTATATTTAACATACAGTGTTATATTAGTTTCAAGTATACAATACAGTGATTCAACGATTCTATATATTATTCAGTGCTCACCACGATAAGTGAACTCTTAATCCCATTCATCTCTTTCCCCCACCCCCCACCCAAATCCTCTCTGGCAACCACCAGTTTGTTCTCTGTGTTTAAGAGTCTGGTTTTTGTCTCTTTTTTCCCCTTTGTTCATTTGTTTTATTTCTTACATTCCATATATGAGTGGAATCGTATTTTTCTTTTTTTGTCTGACTTCTTTCACTTAACACCCTCTAGGTCCATCCTTGTTGTGGCCTTTGCTTTTTTTTATATGTATTTTTTAAGATTTAATTTATTTGTTAGAGAGAGAGCACAAGTAGGTGGAGCAGCAGGCAGAGGGAGAAGCAAGCTCTTCACCAAGTAAGGAGCCTGAAGCTGGGATCATGACCTAAGCTAAAGGCAGATGCTAAACTGACTGAGTACCCAGGCGCCCCAAGTACAGGATTTTTTTTTTTTAAAGATTTATTTATTGAGGTACCTGGGTGGCTCAGTTGCTTAAGCATCTGCATTTGACTCAGATCTGCATGGGGTTCCCTGCTCAGCAGGGAGTCTACTTCTCCCTCTTCCTCTACCTGACACTCTGCCTACTTGTGCCCTCTCTTTGTCAAATAAATAAATAAAATCTTTAAAAAAATATTTATTTATCTGACAGAGCACGTACATGAGTGGAAGGAGGGGCAGAGGGAGAAGAAGAGACGCTCAAGCAAGATTCCCCATTGAGCGTGGAGCCTAACATGGGGCTCGATCCCAGGACTCTCAGATCATGACCTGAGCTGAAATCAAGAGCCAGCTGCCTCACTGACTGAGCCACCCAGACGCCCCCACAGGATTTTCTTTATGTTGGCTGATTTTTTTTTTTCAATGTTGGCTGCCCACCCCCCCCTTTTTTTTTTTTTGGATGTGTTTAAATTTGTTGAATGGTTGAGTGAATTCAGTTCTCCTTCTCAAGTCTCTGTATTTTGGTCAATTTTACATCCTTGGTAGGAAGATTGCTGTTTTAAACCTTTAAGACTGGAATAATTCTTTTCCTTACTGGGGTCTAGGAGAATCCACCAAGTGAAGAGTTAGTTCTAGAGGGGCAGTGTCTGGAACTGGGGCAGCATCAAAACAGCCTTCCAATGTTGCAGATTGTGTCCTGCTTCAACTTCTAATGGACTCATTCCCATATGAAGTAGGAAGGACCTTCCAGGAACTCTTCCCCAACACGTTCTGTTAACAAATCATACTCCAAAAAAGGGACCTATGTCTAAATTACTCTGGTCGCAGCTGGTTGGAATGAATTTTCTAACAGAGCATAATTACTACAGGACCCTTAATATGTTAATATAATCTCCAGAAGCTCTATGGGTGGCCAGCATTTACCAGGTATTTGATGATGCAGTGCTTTTCTCTTCTCAAAGTCATACCAAGAATTAGAGTTCCTTGGAGCACATTTTTGGGTTTTTGAGGGACACAAGGAAAGACGGGGATAGGCATTAAATAAATCATAATTTGGATTTTCAAAGGTCTTTCATGGTCAGTTTTTCTGGCTTTCACAAAAAAAAGAACACTAGCCAACTAACTGTACTGTAATGCAGGCAACATTATGGAGGAAGGAGATCTGGCCCTAGAGTGATGGCCCCTGGGTCTGGCCCCAGGGGCAGTGGTAGGAAGATCACCAAGCTCTCAGCTACCTTGGGTTCCTCATCCATAAAGTGCTCCAGGTGCTCTCAGAAGACCTTCAAATCTCTACCACTAGGACTCTGGGAAATGAGGTTACTCTTCACTGATGTCTGGGTGCCATTCACTTCTGTAGGTCATTATTATTTCTAAAGATGTTTTAGGCTTTGCAAGGTAGGTCTTAATGTTCTCATTTTAACTTAGCAGCAAATGTATTGAGCCCCATTTATGGGCACAACGCTGTTCTTGGAGTGGAGATGCAGAGATGAACAAGGCAGAGTGCTTGTTGTCATGGAGCTGGCTGCAGGGAAGGGGAGAAAGTTAAATGAACAGAAAGGCCACGTATACATAGTAGTACATGCTTTAACAGAAGTGTGCACTATGTGCCTCACAACAGAGGACAAGAGACCCCCCCTCCCACCCCCTGAGGGACAGGAGACCAGGTTGGTCCTTCCAAGGAACTTACACTTAAATGCACCCAGGAAGGGAGTATAACTAGTTATCAGGTGATGAGATAGGCCGGAGACTGAGGTTGATGTTGGAAGGACTTGCTAGATAAAAGAAGCTACAGCTACAAAGGTTCAGGAAGCATGAAGAAGTTTGGGCTCTTTGGGGAACAAGTAGATCATTGAGGGTAAGCAAGAAACTGAAATGGATGAGATGTGGAAAGGTAGGAATGCTTAGGTATCCTAACGTATTGGGGTTTCAGTCTGTCAGCACAGAAGGGAGTCATTGCACTACTGTAGGCAAGGGGATGAGTCACATGATCTGATTAGCATTTTAGAAAAATAGTTATTGTGGCTTTGTGGGATTCAGGCTAGAGGACATGGAGCTGCAAGTCTTCTTAAAAGTCTAGTCTAGTATTTAGTAACGATAGTGAAAAAAGCTAACGTTTATCGAGCACTTCTGTGAGAGGCACTGAATTAAGCTTTTATTGTCTCATTTCTTACAATTTCAACTGTGACCATGGCATGTACTATCATTTAAAAAAAGTAGTGTATACTTTGGAAGACTGAGGTCTAGGATGGTTAGGTAATTTGCATAACATCACAGAGATGATCTGTATTAGAACCCAGATTTTAACAAAGGCAGATGGATTGCAAATAATAGTTTTAATTGTTATGACACAGTGCCTTCAGAAATGTTTTTCATAATGGCGGCTGAAATTTGAATGTTAGCTTTGCAGAACCATTTTGCTCAATGGTTTGCATGGATTATGTCATCTAATCCAAATGGTAGATGATAGATGACGGATGTCCAGTTCAGGGCTGTGGCAGTGGGCATGGAAGCAAGGGACTTCATTTGAGAATCAGTCAGGACTGGTGTGCCTTGGTGACATCCTCACGTTGGGAGGATGAATCTGGGATGACTTCAGGTTTTCTAACTGGGACAACTGGGTGACATTCATGAGGATTAGGAAGGGAAGTAGGATGAGGTTTTGTCAGGAAGTTCTGAGTTTGTTTTGGGCACGTGAAGGCTGAGGAACCAGTAGCACCTCCAAGTGGAGATGTCCAGGAGGGAGCTGGAATCAGGAATCACTGATGCGGGGGTGATGGTGGAGCCCAGACCCAGGGATAATGAACACACAAGAACTTCCTCTCCACGGAGCATGGCCCGGATGGTGACATCAGTACTTGTTAATTGTATGTGACTTGTTATGTGTGAGCATGACCCAGCGGGAGGGTTGACTGTCCACGAGCCATCACACACTCTGCCTCCCCTCCCCCACCACTCTTGCTTCTATATTTGCTCTCCTTAAATCTCTAGGAGAAAGATGCCCCATCCTGCTTTTCTCTGAGCCAACTACTGGCTTCTTAAACAGCTTTCTTCTAAACAATGGGCTGAGCTGCCAGATACTTAACAATATTTTAGATACTCTTGTAATGGTTTATAGCTGCTGCTGGTTATTGCCATAATGTATTTTAGCTGATGTTATTTTTAACTAAAACATACACCCTCAGGCTGTACAAAGAGCACTCTTGTAGCAGTGTAATCTCTGCAACATATCTTAGAGGGTGAAAATAGAAACTCGCAAATTTGGTTGCAGAGGGAAAGAGGATGTTGCAGTAAATGCCTTGGAGATGGTCCAAAATTTAAAGCAAGGGAAGTGTTTCCTATCCAGTAGTAAAATAATAATTCTATGTGTGATATTAGGTGCCTGTCTTGCAGTTTCGGAAATCACTAATCTTTTAAGAAAATACTGGATATAGATATTATTAAAAGCCAGAGGTAGCATTTAGGATCTACTCTTTGCTTTGACATTGCCAGGCTACTTTGAAGGGAACTTGGGTTTAGCCTTTTTTTTTTTCTTTCTCTCTCTCTCTCATGCTCTGTCAGCAGAGTAAGTTCTGAATCCCTTAAATCTTTGCTATTCTTTAGGCCCCTTAAAAGCAAAGCTTGTGTCTTGTTCACCTATGTGTCCATCCAAGTACTTCCTATGGAGTGTTCTAGAAATGATTTCTATGTCAAAATGCATTCTTTCCAAATTTTCCATCACTACTTATCCATAGAGCAATTAGTAGTTATTTTTGGCTGCTAGGAGGCATATTTACTGCAACATTTTGCTTTTAGCCCCAGCGAGTAAGGTCTTATATAATTTTATTTTAAGCTTACATTCACAGTTTTATTTTTCACCACAAAGGTTATTTGTCCTACAATACCATCACTTCTTTTTCTTCCTCTTAAGACCTTAAGTACCTGTCTACACAGCTATTTATAATTTCCATCAGACTTCAGACAAAAAGATTTAAGGAAAAACTTCAGAAGCCTTTTGGCATCTGAGTTATGGAAGGATGTCAACCAGTGACTGACTTCTGAGGGGTACGTTTCTTAATAGAGGTTTACTTGTCCTTGGAGAGGGGTGAATGTGGATGCTGGACATCATGCTGGTTCACCTCAGCAGTGGCCACACATAGAAGAGGGGACATGCTCATTGGCTTGCATTCAAAGTACTAGGGGACCCTTGCAGGTTTTGCATTAATCTTTGGCTGTCTACACTCACATGCCTTCATGTCATCACTGCTGGGGCTGCTTCTTTTGGTCACCAAGTTGTTTCAGCTGGTGTGAGCCATACGGTATGTTGTTGGAAAATTCTTTAGTATGCTCAGTGATTTGCTTCATAGAGAGAGGGTTACAGGCTTTTCTACTTCATGTGACCTGGAAACCTTCAAACTTCTCAAGTGCACAGACCAAGTCTATATCTGCATCTTATCAGAAGGAGAACAGGGGCATTCCCTGCCTAGAGAGAAAACGTACCATGAAATACCATGCTGACTTTTGTACCTATTCCTCAAGGACGTACTTCTATCACTTCACACATCTTTTATTTTGTCCTTTTCTCATAAGTGAACCCAGAATAGACTCCCTTACGTCCAACAGGCATCTAGTTGAGTCTAGATGGTTGCAGCTTTCAGTTTCATAAAAACTTTCCATTGTGGAGTCCGTGGCATTAAGTTTTATGAGATACTTTTTATTTCTAAGGAAATTTTCATAATCCCTAGTGACAAAAGCCAAGACACCAACTGGGCCACGTCTCAGCTTCCAGCTGGTAGGGAGGGTTTGGTGCCAGGGGAGAGTTCCTCCAAGGCACCAGCCAAAGAACGCACTATGGACTGTTCTCAGCCCTGTGATGTTTCCATCCAACCCACACTGTCACCTCCGTGGTTTGAAGGAGGGGCAGAGCAGAGACTGTAAAAGACTTGGTGATACTTTTTGTCACCATATTGCACAAGAACACTTTATATCTTTCCTGTTATTTAACAACCATGGTTTTGCAACACACACCAAATGTGTGTCTAATGGAAGTTCTGACACAGATTTAAGAACTCTGATTTAAGCATTCTGATTTAAAACTGTATATGTAGCTTTTAATCATGTTATAAAAAGAAAATTTTTTCTTTTTTTTTTTTCTTTCGAAAATGGTTAGGTCACTTAAACTACTTCCAACTGTTTTGCCCTAGAATCCTGTTAATTTTGCTTCAACCTGTTTCTGTCGAAGCTTTGTTTCTCAGATTTAAAGTCTTTTAGGGTTAATTTTATTTTTAGAGCTCCATAGTCTATGGACAAATTATTTTAGGATTCCTGTGTATTTATGGTTCTGTGTCATGTCCTAAGTGATGGCATGTGTAATAGAAGACATTACTATTGTTTTCAGAATAGGACACCTTGTTGATTTTTTTTTTCAAGACTCAGTATCTGCCATTATCATGAAAATAAGAGAAAATGCACAATGTGATCAGATACATTAGAGACCCTTACGGGGAGGTTATGACTGCAGATGCAAGTAACAGTCATGCCTTCAAGATTTTTCCTTCAGTGATTAGTGGGTAACTCAAAGTTTTTCTATCTTAGAAAAGGAGGGGACAGAGGAAGGGGTGCCTCACCCATGTCTATCCAACCAGAGTTGTTTTTCTCCAACACTAGGCATGCAAGAAGCCTCAATGAAGCTCACAGAGTCGCTGCATGAAGTCTACGAGCCTGACTGGTATGGGCGGGAAGACGTGAAGATGGTTGGTGAGGTACGAGCCAGGAGCACAGACCACAGGAGGCCGGGGCACTTCTGCCAGTGTTCCAGCACGATCCACTAAATCATGACAGGGCACTGTGCACCCCGAAGACACCATACGGTTCTGCCATCCTGATCAGCCCAAACTCATAGTGATTAGTGAGCCATTGTAAAACTACTAGGGGAGAGAGCTGTGTGTTAAAGATGATTTTTCTTCAAAATAGGAATAGTGTTTTCCTGCCTTTCTACACATTTTAGCTCATCTCAGCAGCAGAACTGGCTCAGGGCATGATTTTGTATATGAACTTCATCCCTGCACCCCTTCTCTCCCCATCCCTTCTTGAAAACAGGGTCAGGAGGCGCAAAAAGCATCTATTTCACTTAAATGCCACTGGTGCATTCACTGGTCTGCAGAACCTAAGGACAGATGTGGTCAGCCTGCTAATAGTAATGTAACTTCCAGAAGCCTTTGTCCCTAGACATGTCTTAACACCTGAAATCCAGTTTGCAGCTGAGGGCCATCTGGCTGGCAGGAAGTGAGAAAGTGCGTTATTTTATGCTTTGCCAAAGGCCTAATGGGGTGGAAACCAGGAGTGGTCTCTCTATGATGAACATCTTCTCAGGCTTTAGCTTTCTCATCTGCAGAGTAAGAATAAGAATTATACCTACTAATAACACATTTAAAGCCTCTGTATTCACATTACTGGGATGGTGCTCGGTACATGTCATTATTACTGATGGTAGCAAAGTGCCTGTCAAGGCTTCTCTCATGTCCAGATTCTTTGTTAAAGAGTGGCATTTGTCATGCCCACTTGGCATGAACTCACTGATGAGTGTTGAGGAACAGAAGACCTAAGGGATATGGCCACCCCAGCTCGAGAGAAAGGCTGATGTGTGATGCACTGACCATCTATGTGGGCTTTGGAAAGATGGGTTAACAGTGCAGCCCCAGGTTGCTCCATGAAAATTCTGACACCCCCATATTGACCTTCATAATTTTGTTAGGATAAAAAAGAAAAAGCCCAGAGATTCATTTATAAGGAAAGTTCTTGGCCTTCTTACCCGTTTAGAAAACTTTCAAAATCCGAATCTGGCAAAACCAGCCTCCACATACCACTTTCCCATGCAGTTACTAAGTAATTGCTTTTTCTCACCTTTCTTCAATATGAAGACAACATTTCAACATCATGTTGTTAAATGCTTACCATATAAATTTCTGATGAATGTTGTATAATTAAAAATTCATTGTGAAAAGAATTTTTAATGGATAATAGAAACCTGTGTTACTAGCTTTCAGAACACCACATTACATTCTGTGTGTGACAGATGCCACTGTTGACGTTTATTCCTTCAGAAAATGGCTGCTGTCCCACCTTAGTCCTTGGAGGTCCTGCCAGGATTTTTGAAACCTTTAGTTGCAGATCTAAATATGGGCTCTTCCGATGGTGAAGGAGCCAAACATTACATGTTGAAAGCATCTATTCACATCAGAAGATGAGCCTTTTCATATGGAGGGTTTAAATTTTTTTGTTGGCATAAATTTCATAAATTGGCATCTGTAACAATGAGGATCCGTATTTGAAGTGTGAAAAATAAACACAAGCAGCTAACCCCCCCCCAAAAATGGTTTTCCAAAGGTAGAAATTTCTCTCTCTCTCATAAAAGACTTGGGAGTGAGCAGCCCAGGTCTGGTGACATCAGGGGTCCATCTTTGCCATCCTTGCTGCCTCCTGGCCATTGGCTTTCATTTCTGCACCCAGTCAGCAAGTGGAGGAATTGGGGAAGACAAACCTCTTTTTAGGGACACTTCCTAAAAGTTCATCCCTTTGGCCAGACCTTAGTCTTGTGGCTACACTTAGCTGTGACACAGGCTGGAAAATGTAGTCTGTATCCTTGGTAGCCTACATTGTCGATTAGAACTGGTAGCCAAATTGCCTTGAAATTTTATTGTATTATTAAATAATCCACATTTTTTTCTAACATCTGTTATCTGAGAAAGTACTATTTATCTAATTTGATCATACCTGAATTTTTTTTTAGAAGTTTGGTGAAAAGTATCTTTTAAAACACTTTAGCAGTTATTTTTTTATTTCTCTTCTTCTTTCAGAAATGTGATGTCCTGTGGGAAGACTTCCATCAAAAACTAGTGGATGGGTCCTTGCTGACACTGGATACCTATCTGGGCCAATTTCCTGACATAAAGGTATTTTACTTTGTGTCTGTAAAGGGAAGAATTGAATGGTTCTATGTACTTACTGAAATGTGGGCAAGAGATAAGTGAAATTCAGAGTCCTCCAACTGACATCAAAGACTGTAACTTTTCATTTATTTAAGCATGGAAGCTTTATCCTGTTCCTGTTGGTTTGAAATGAAATGTAGCCACAGAAGTCACATTTTTCCCTTTAGCGAACTGCTTCATCTTTCATTTCTCTACAGACATCTTTTTAGTCTCCCAGATATAAATTGCAAACCAGATACCAAAAATTCTGATCTTCTTTATGTTCCAACCTTTTTAATGTATAACATTTGATAAGAATTTCCATTAGAATAAACAGCAGTCTCCAGGAAAGGAGAAACTTCATTGCAAAGCTGAGAGCAAGATCTAATCTTTCCTTTTTTATTGTTCAGAGCGTACCTGCAAGTGTTTTCTCTCCTTAAAATTTTTTGGAGCATATTGAACTGTTAAGATAGAAGTGTATCAAATACATTAGCAACTGGATCTAGCAATATCTGGTCTAAAACATCTGTCTTATTTGATACTTGGATTCATTGATGGGAAATCCGTAAGCGAAGGATCAAACATTGTAGATGTAGAACTGACTCTGGAGATAGAGATGGTTTTTAAACCATCAGGGCTGTACCTGGCAGATGGTAGTGGGAATAGATCTGCACCCCAGTTGTTTTTCCTGCTCAAGGAGGAATACCAGGTAAGTACCACGGTGCTGGGCTTCTTATAGGTTAAAGGTAGACGTGAACCAGCATTCATCCATCTGCAAAGCCCAGCTGACTTCTGATGTGAATCTCCACTTTTCCCTGGCCTGCTCTGTAGCCATGGCTGAACACCAGGACACTAGCTGCAGTAACATGCACTGGCCTTGGCCATAAAGCATAGTGAAGCTTCTCAGCCAGAGCAGCCCTCCTGTCAATGAAGTCCGTTTCCTTGGTTCCATACATAACGCCTAACAACTAGATGGACAACATCCAAAGTGTGTTTTGGGATGCAGGAGCACCAAACAAAAACCTCACTGGACCAGACTAGGGACATTAATTAGCCTCGGTGGCAAAATGTCACAGAGAACAAGTCCAAATGATAGATTCTCAATGATGTTATCATAATAGGCAGGAGAACACTTCAGAGGGCTGTTGCATGATTTTATCCTCTTTTAAAGATGTAGTTGGCTTTTTAAAATTTTCTGAGAGACTTAAAAAATAAATTAAAAAATTCTAGGGTCCAGTGAGGCTACATGCACTAGCCTATAGGGAATATGTCTTGGGATATCTTCAGATTATTTGGTGGACAGTCAGTCGCATTTTGGCTTAGAGTTTGTAACATTTGTGGAGCAAAGAGTCTCAGAATCATTATTATTACACTTCAGAATATCATTTATTGTGTGGTAATTTAATCTCCATAAATATCAGTTCCTAAGAAATCAGAAGAAGATAAGGGAATACTTTGACTTTGTACTTGAAAATTTCAAAGCAGTTTACAAACTAGCCTAAATTATTCATATAATATACATTCATAGTATGATTTAACTAAGCAAATGAAAGCTGTGATTGACTAGAGAAAAGCACATTTGAAAAGCTGTTCAGCTTCATGAACAAAAACTTAGTATCCTCAAAAAAATGTGGAGGATCTTAGTTGCTGTGGTCCTACTCAGCCATAGTTATTTGGAAATTGGCCATACTCTCTAGGAGTGTATAATTTGAGAAGACAGATACACACAGAAGTACCTGCATTGAAACACAGATTAAAATAAAATCATAATGGGAGTACTTGGGTGGCTCAATTGATGAAGCACCTAGCTCTTGGTTTTGGCTCAGAGTCCTGAAATCAAGCCGCTTGTCAGGCTCCATGCTCGTGGGGAATCTGCTTATGTATTCTGTCTTTCTTCCTCTGCCCTTCTGCCTACCCATGGTCTCCCACTTCCCTATCTTTCTCTAAAAATAAATAAATAAATCTTTAAGTCGATTAATTAAATAAAATCATGATGGATGAGATTAGCTAGGATTTTCAGTTTGTTTTACATCAGAAAGATGAAGAACTCAGAACTTTTGCTTAAGCAATTATTTTCTTGAGGTCCACAGTTGAGGTCATGCACAAAGATGATCCTCCAGTGATTGAACCATCTACACTAGATATTTGGGAAAAATGTCATCTAGCTGGGTGTCTTGAAAATAAATAAAATACATGTCATGGTGTTGTCCGCATCATGGAAAGAGGCTGAAATAATATCGGTTTCTCTTTCTCCGAAGTCACAGTTAGAATATCCTACCATACACATAGGGCTTCAACCAAAGTAGACAATTGCGAGACTGTTTCATATGACAAGGAGTTGTTCCTAATATTTGAGAGGTGGTTTTTCTGTGAAGATACACTTATCCTCTGTGTCTTTGCTCACTTGAACGGAAGGTAGAAAGGGATGAAGATTCTATCGCTCCATCGAGTTAGTGCTGAAGGTTTCTGTAAGGAACGGGTTATTGATGGAAAGGAAGCTAATGACTGAAAATACTGTGTGGAGAGTTTTCAAAGCATGGAACACAGCTGACTTCTCTTACTTCCATTAAAATCAAACAGTCCATGTGTAGTTAACACGTCGGGCAAATTTCCAAATATTTACTGCCGCTCACCAGCAAGGGCTATGCAGTACCATTCATGAGGGAATGATGTTTGACTTTTCCAACTGTGATTGGCAGGGCACCCAGTGTTACAGGTCTTATTATGCAGCACTGACATCTAAAATCAATGTTCTAATAAGAGCCAGCTTGTCATCAACCCAGGCAGCCTTACAGCTGTGAGCAGTTATTGTAAAATGTAGTATAGATTGCATCTTGGGTGCCCCACATAAGCACCTAAACATATATTTCCAGCAGTGTGACAAGGTGAATTCCGGATTGGGGTTATTATTGACATTAAAAAAAATACAATAAACTAAAAGTTTTTATTGTATAAGTTCAGTGTGCATTGGGGAATTTGAAGAAATTTCAATTGAACCATTTCATTAAACTCTTTACTGTTAAACTAGTAAATTTACTTAATAAAATTTATTACTAGATGGTTAAATAGAAATTATTTCCCATGTAAAAGGTAAGGTGAATTTACCCTTAGAAGATTTGATTCTTTTTTCAAGTTTTTCAAGTGTCAGATAAGGAAGGAAATAAGGTTGATTTGTATTTCCAACACAAAAATGTGTGAATCAAAATGAGTGATGGACTTCGAAACAGGCCATCTACTATGGTAAGCCCTGCTCTGTAATGGACTTGTCGGTTACCCAAGAAAATGAGTCACATAATTTATTTCACTTCTTGTTTTTGAACAAAAAAGATGACCTAGTGTACTCTTCCACCTTATTCCCAGGCTTGGAAGACTTTGAATTTTGGCTCTTATCAAAAAATCACACTCATCATCAAAGAATCAAGATTTGCTTCTTGGAAGATACTAAAGAAGAGTTCCACACCCTACTCCCTCCCCTACAAGTTCATGAAGCAGAGCTTTACCAGAGATACCTGGAGTTACACAAGGTCACTGCTTCAAGGGACAGTGTTCCTTTGAAGGTAGTAGTAAGATGTTTGCTAAAAAGAATGAGCTTTGTCACTTCATAGGCACACTGTCCCCACTAGGGAACACTGAAGGGCCTCCCTGCATCCTGCCTAGACTAATTCATCTCATATCTTTAAGCAAATGTGAGTCAGCCATGCTTTCCAGTACTAACACCAGTTGGAAGCAGTAGGTGTAGAGGGTGAAGAGATTGGAAGTAGCTGAATGAGAGTAACTGCCCCAACCCACCTCTCACCCATCCTGAAGGGAGTATAGACGAATAGCATAGAGTGACAGGTGGTAACTGAATGATGGGTAGGTCAGAGAAATATGGGCGCAGTTAGAAGGACTAACCGAGAGTCAGGAGGAGGGTTGGGATTGGGTGTGGCAGGTGAGGGCATTAGAGTATAAGATATAATGAGGCACCTACTCTTGGTTGCTGAGCCCACACCTATGTGACCCTGTGAGTAAGGGCCTTCTTAGATGTTGGGCCTGGGTGTCTCGTGTGCCACAGCCTACTCTTGGTACTGGTTGGCTGACATCTAATTCATCTTTGCTACAGACTTTCTGAGCAATTTTGGACAAGGTATCAGTTAATCTCATGCAACTCGAAATTCTCTACATGTAAAGTGGGAATAATCCCTGCAACACCTGTACTGTAGGCTGCTGAGGGTCTGTGACTTGGGACTGTGTTTCTATGCCATAAGTATATTGTTGTTTTCTTCTTCCTACTATATTAAATTTGAGAATTTTTTAAGGATCTCCTCTAGTAATAGTTCTCTGATTGGACTTCGTGTAACTGGACCACTAGGGGTCTTTTCAAAAAGGCCAAATTCTTGGGCCTTGTAACAGACTAAATTGGCTTATTATTTACTTATTAGTTATCCCTCTTTTCTTAAGGTTTATTTATTTGAGGGAGAGTGCGTGTGTGTACGAGCAAGGGGGACAGGCAGAGGCAGAGGGAGAGACAATCTCAAGCATACTCTGTACTGAGCATGGAGACAAACACAGGGCTAGATTTCACGACCCTGAGATCATGACTGAGTCAAAATCAAAAGTCGGACGCTTGACCAACTGAGCCACCCAGGTGCCCCTCACTTTTGTTTTAGATATTTATTTATTTATTTATTTGAGAGATAGAGTATATCTCTTTAACTTAAGGTTTTAGTGGTTGCTTTATAATTTATAAGGTACATCTTTAACTTTACCAGTCTAACTTCAAATACTATCATAGTACTTTTATATAAATAATATACCTCCAGTTCTTTCTTCATTTCCTGTTATTATTACAGAATTTTCCTTTACATACGTTATAAAACCCACAATACATTTTTCTGTTTCTTTTTTGTTCTAGATAATCAGTTACCTTTTAAAGTACTTAGAAGTAAAAAACCAAAATCATGTATATTGACCTTGAATTTTATAATTTCTGGTACTTACTTTTT